CACCGGAATTAGGAGTAGCTGCACTATATTGAGTCTATCTGGTTTCCTTTTCATCGGTGGCTCAGTGGTATGACGCTTCCCTTATATCGCAGCTGTCCGGGTTCGGTTCTTGGTAATGGATCTGTGATGCATACCGTTGAGGAGTCTTGTTCTAGCCTCGGTGAAATATATATATATATATATATATATATATATATATGCGACAATTAAAAAAGATTATAGTTTGTCATGTTTTGTCGAGAAAACATCAAAATCTACATCATTGGGACAAAACATGATTCAAATTAAGCGACTACCGACTTGATTTATCTTGAGCTGTATCGACATAATTTTTTTTTTCACATAACTAATTTCAACTCTGATTTTATTCTTATTAGTCTATCAATTTTACATTCTTTTCCTTAAAATTATCCTGTGAATCTGTATTGTGTCCCTTGCCGTATGAACTGTTGCCAAATATCATTGTACGGAAACAGGTTGATGCAGTTAAAAATTCGTTGGAGTAACATCCAAGAGATACAAACATGTCCACATCGCTTTCGAGTTGATGCGCTCGGATCTTCTTTGATAATCCTCCTTACTCGCTCAAATACTCCTTCATGCCTAACCGAACTAAGTATACCACTTTGTGTGAGGTCAATTACTGAACTTTTACTTTCAAAACTTGGTGGTTCCCTCACACAGTAATGGCGACGATATCCTCGTTGAGTTTGAATTATTGGTTTTGGTAGAGAAATTTCATTACTTGCGTTTGTTTGACAGTCGTGTATTTTTAAATAATTAATTTTCAAAGTGTCCTTTATAAATACTTGGAAGAAAACTAAAATAAATTAATGAACAAAAAAGTTATTAAACTTTCAATTTACTTGGTGACATTTGGGGCACCATACTTTGTTCTTTTGCCATCAGTCAAACACATAAACTGCGATATGGGTGCACCAAAAATCGCACTCTCTCCACATTGGCATCCATTCTTTGTCTTTTGGGCTACCCACTTCTTTTATCTTTGGGCAAATTTTCTTAGTCTTCCTTGAACCATCTATGCCACTTATATACCCTCAATCTATTTATCAGGAAAAGCTGACCATATATGGAGGGAAAAGGGAGATTGCCGCTCTGTGTGCGATGAAGTTGATATAATAGACTAAAAACATCACTGGAAAATACGAAAACTTAAAGAATCAGCGCATATGCTAGGCCACAAAAACCTCCTAAGCTGGTCAAGCATAGAAATGAATATAACATAGGAACCAGTAATACAGAGAGGTAAAGAAAACAACAATAACAGAAATTGTAATATGAGCTCCGGTTAAAAATTGCACCCGAGACATTAGGTATATAAGCCCCCAAAATTCTCTCATTGATGGCCTAGTGGATAAAAGTGTTGGTTGAGTAATCCAAAAAGTGACTTTAATATGAGTTCAAAACCACATAGGGAACAAAAACATGGAGTATTGAGTTGGTGAAACTGAGATATCCCCACCCCACATAAAGCATGGCACATGGAATTAGAACAATCTACCCCCGTGGACTAAATAAAGGTTTCGGTTTGAAATCCCAACAAATCTCCAGAAGAAGGTCGGAGCGTACAACGGCCGAAACGTCGTGAATATGGCAGTAAAGATGTAGACAACAGTCCGAACGATGTAAATAGTCCTTATAGCACGTTCACAATAAAGTCTTTCTAATAGGGTTAAGTTTTCACAAGCTCTTTTACAGACGCTACGTCCTTATGAAGTGACATACCCTTAAAGTGACTCCTCATCTTAAATATCTAATTTATAAAAATCAAATCAGACCAAGAATGGAATATTGATGTCATATCTAGGCTGTAGCTGCTCCATCCTCACTTTCCAGCCTCGACAGAGATAATGAGTGACTGATGAATTATTTTCCACCCTACAAAACATATTCTACAGATGAAACACTGTTAGCCTCTTCTATACTCTATCGCTGTTACTATAGCAGATGCTCGAGTAAGTTATATTCCATAGTTCAACCAGCTTAATAACTAGGAGCGTTATACCATATGCACGATAGCAAATCGACTATATTCATTTCGTTTTCCTTTGATAAAGAGTAAGTTACACTCAGGCAGTTTCCTCCCCAAAACTGTTGATTTTTGGAAGAGACTCTTGAGAGGATCCTTCCTTGACAACCACAATCGTCGTCACGTTGTCCAGGATCAACCGATATCAATCCTACACATTCTCATAATATGCATTTATTACTACTTCTCCTTTCACTCGATAGCCTACTACCTTTAGTGGCCATTGGGTTGATGTGGTGAACTAACAGTAAAAAAAAAAAGGTTGGGTATTTCAGTCATTTTTAGCTAACTGTATAAATATGAACAGTTTAAACTGTATAAATATGAAAAGTTTCTCCTTTCTCGTCAATGAATGATTCACTTAGTAAGTATCTAAGCATCTGGATATATATATATATATATATATATATATATATATATATATATATATATATATATATATATATAAAA